GAGAGAGAGAGAGAGAGAGAGAGAGAGAGAGAGAGAGAGAGAGAGAGAGAGAGAGAGAGATGAGAGAGAGAGAGAGAGAGAGAGAGAGAGAGAGAGAGAGAGAGAGGAGAGAGAGAGAGAAAGAGAGAGAGAGAGAGAGAGAGAGAGAGAGAGAGAGAGAGAGAGAGAGAGAGAGAGAGAAGAGAGGAGAGAGAAGAGAGAGAGAGAGAGAGAGAGAGAGAGAGAGAGAGAGAGAGAGAGAGAGAGAGAGAGAGAGAGAAGGAAAATATGATTAGGATTTCACAGTCCAAATTTTCATCAAGAGTGAATGCTCCTGCACAAGGGTTCTATTTATAGAACCACTTATGTGGGTTGCAACCTAAAAAGTCCACTTAAGTGCACGATCACCTAAGCACGTGGTACCTTATCACATTTTGTATCCTACTTAAGTGCATTGTACCTTATGGTGTTCCTTATTTACTCTACCTCTTATCAATCCGTCCTTATGTGTGTGACCCCGTAGGTTTTTGTGACGTTGGAAATTATATTAAATCACATATTTAAATAATAAACAGTGAGCGATGTCTAGCAATACATCACTTCTACCCAAGTCATGAAAATGTCATGTGATCCAGCAAAACCTTTTGTGATAATACTTGTGTGTACAATTGCTCTTTTTCCCTTATGTCTATATTGAACACAAGGCATATATTGTGTCACCCTTGTCCAATTCAATATTGGACCCTTAAACATTTATCATGTTATGCAGGATGGGAAAATTCTATTTAGGTCACTCATGTCCCTCAGCATGCTTTGTGGAGTATCCATCAACTGTCTTTATGGTCATCCAATTACAGACAATGTTTGATCAGAAATAAAGTACTTGAATCTATATCTAGGGTCTATAGTGGTTTCAGGCCGAAAGGTGGTATACACAAATATCACCATGAGAGTAACTTATGACACTTTGCATAACATTCTATGTAGCACTCTCATAGCGGGTCAATCCAGTATAAATATTACTCCTAATATTCATACATATGTTAAGACTTGGTAGCTCCTTATCCATGATCCATGAGATGTGATCATCAGTCTATCTATATAATAGTCTTAATGCTTTAAGGTTATCCCACTTCACAGTAAAGCTCGACTACAGATGCTTTAAGAATAGTGTCTTTATGTTTAATAGAATCTCATGATTAAGTCACACTTAATATTTTATTAAACAGGCTAACTATTATAGGGACTTTATTATTCTGAAAAATAAACATAATAAAGAAATGTCTTTTATTAGTAATTAATAATTCAATACAAATACCAAAAGTATTGGCCTCTAGGGTTTACACCAACACACACATACACACGCAACATATAGATATTCCATTAATTTCTCAAGATCATGAACACATATCATAACAACAACAACAATCATATTCAACATATGCAACACAACAAATCATGAAGAACATAAACAATTATTGTTCATGGTAAAACTTGTAGTCAAGATAGAATACTCATCACTATCCTATGATTCAAAAACCCTAATTTCTAGAAATCATAAGGTTTCTAACTAGAACCCGCCTTAGCAAAAGAGATGAAGAGATTGTTGTTGCAAGATATAGAGATGAGAGAATGATGATGAAAATCCAAGCTTCTATGTTTCTCCAAGTTTTTCATCTTCCCACAAGCTCCTCTTCTCTCTAAGTTACTCTATCTCTTTCTCTCCCAATACCTGTTTTTTCTACTGATATAATGAAAAGTTGAATGGTGTATAAAGTTAGTAAGAGTGGTAGTAGAAGCACATGGTTACAAATCAAAAGAAAATTGTATGGGTAAACTTGAATAAAAGTGGTAGAAAATATCTTAAGTGTTACTACACTTAAATAATTATTCTACTAGAGCAATTGACCCATTATTAATGTTATCAAAATGTCCCTTCTTGTTCCAATTAATAAAATGTCAGTTCCAAATAATATTAATTAAATCAATCTGAGTTTACTAGTTACTTTATTTATCCTAACTGATAACTTTCAGAGCACATAGAAACTCAATTTATCTAAACTCATATGAATTTGAGTATTTAAGAAAACACGGCGTATTACATTATGTGTATTAATTAGTAACTGTATAAAAATTATTTGTAGGGGCATAAACACCACAACGACTATGAATATGAATACTATGTGATTAAACATATGTTTAATATTGTCTTCAGAGGCATTATCAATTCATGGACTAAGGTATTAACTATTCATATACATGTAATTTATGTATATATGTTAAGTTAATGTTGTTGTTGTTAGCTTATCATAATTTAAACTTTGTTCAAATTATAGGGGTTTATCGACGAAGCACCATTTTCATGAGAAGATATAGATGAAATATGATCGCGTTGGGCCTATGTCTTTCTATCTTATCATGAATTTCGTTGTAAACACTAGTTTTTCTTGATATACATCTATACACTAGCATTTTATAAAGTTTTTGTCATTATAAATACAAATATGTATAGGTCCATATATGTGTAGGTTCTCTTGGTAGAGATTTTGTGTATCCCAAATGTCATTATAAGTATCGTAAGTATTGTACATTTTGTTTTGTAAACAATGTAAATTTGGTATTTTGTGTTATGTTTTGTATAAAATACAAAAGATATGATTATGTCAAATTATTATGTAGGTTTTGTGTAAAAAATGGATTTTTTTTAGAATAACCATATATTAAATTAAAATTATCATTTAAATGAATATTTCAAAAAAATTCGCAAAGTAGCTAAGAATCAACCTTCTGTCGCCATGTCAATTAGCGACATTGTTGAAACTGACTTTAAATTCGCCAAACAGATTTGCGACATTATTGAAGGTGATTTTGGGCCTAAGAGCATTCGCCCATCAGAATGGCGACTCAGACCAATTGTTAGGGTTTTCGTTTCTTAGATAATGTCGTCATTCTGATGGGCGAATGCTCTTAGGCCCAAAACCACCTTCAACAATGTCGCCAATTTGTTTGGCGAATTCAGAATCAGTTTCAACAATGTCGCCAATTGACATGGCGACCGAAGGTTGATTCTTAGCTACTTTGGGAATTTTTTTGAAATGTTCATTTAAATGGTAATTTTAATTTAATATATGGTTGTTCTAAAAAATGATTTAGGACAGTCAAAATGAAATTAAATAAAAATGGTTATACCCCTCGCTTATTAACAAAATCCGATGTAAACAGGGGCATATTTACCTCAGTTATAAACAAAAACCGAGAGGTATATGGCACAACTACATTATTTTGAGCATAAAAAATGTTATTGGAAATCGAACCAATAACCTTTTCATCTATCCCTCGATTATTAAAAACTAATAGGTAAGGTTACCGTTTTCATGATGCTCATTTATTACCTCGCATTTGTAGTTGAGATAAACTCTCATTTGCGTCCGAGATAAAATAAATATATTATGATATATCTTTACTAATAATTTCATTCAACACAAAAAATTAAGAAAAAATAGTTTAGTTAATAAAAATTAGTTCAAAGAAATAATTATTTCAAGGAAAAAAAATAGTGTCTAAACCCTATACTTTGTTATAAAACCTAAAGTTGGTGAGGTCCAAAGGGTATGAGCATTTATGAAAAGTGTGGGGTATGGAAAGTAGGAGTAGGTGGGTCCTTAATAGATTTTTCTACTTCAAAAGAATCAAAACTCAAAGGTGCACATGTATACCCTCTCTATTTGATGGAACTGCCACTGCACACTGACTGATGGGGGCCGAGTGAGTGGTATTAATGTAATTTTGTTACCTCTTGTGTTATGGACTTTTGCTGCTTGGATGGAACTATACATGGTTTTTCTTTCCCTGCTTTTATAGCCTTTATAGACTTGAGGGTGGGGGTACCTTATGTAGTCATCATGCTTATTTCAGATATTTGTTTTGGTTACTGTCTTAGTTTTTGAAACTATTATTGCTTAGGAGTTTTGTATTTCTTGTTTGGTTTTTGGTGGTATATTGGAAAATTCTGTTTGATATTATGGTTGTCAAGGTGTCGTCTATAATGTGACATGTCATGTTTCGGTGTCCATGTCAAAGTTCATTATTTATAGATGTCTTTGTGATTATGTCAACCTTTTCGAAACATGTAAAATAAGACTGGATGGCAAACGGACATGTCACATGATATGTCCGCCATGTTTAGATCTACTGCGCAATGTTCGTCCTAATTAGATCTGTTGCGCAAAAGTCAAAAAAAAATGAAGTGAGCATAATAGAGAGTGTGTGATTAAAACTTTGATTCTTGTTTATCCCGCAAGAAAATGAGAGTGTGACGGAGCATAATTGAGATTGCAAAATTAAAACTGACTCTAGTTCGTCTGCAAGAAAATGAGGGCGGAAGAGCTAAAACTTTAGTCTGTCTCATAAAAATAACAAGGGTGAGCAGAGTAGACATGCCAGTCTTGTAACCCAAGGGTGAGCAGAGTAGACATGCTAGCCTTATAACCCTTAATGCTAAAAGTTGCAAAATTTTATTAATACATTTGCCCGCAAAAGTTACCGTTAATGTCCGTGCTTGCAAAAGTCTAAGAAAAATACGAAGTGAAACGAGACAAAGCTATTGTTAGTGTCTGTGCTCGCAAAAGTCGCAAAAGTCTAGAAAAAAACAAAGTGGAACGAGATAAACATATTAAAAGTGCAGACCTTAAACTTTAATCCATCTCACAAAAAAATAGCATGCCTGCCAACGGACTAGACCCGTTTTGGCACAGTAGGTGGAGAAAGTTTTCACTTGTGACTTTGAGGCTAGGAGACATCAATAATGGTACAATTTGGAATTTCCTAGCATTGATTCAAAAAAATTATGAAGCAACTAAATCAACATTCCAACAAAGATAACACTTATACATGGCTTTCCCTTTTTTTCTTCCTTTTTACAGATGAATACAATACAACCATTACATAGCTACCTATTGACACTAATGACAATGTCCATTTAAACATGAGAACTATAGTGGTAAAAAAAGCTAACATGCTTGTCACCTAGGGCCAGAAAGCTCCATTGCTTCTACTATCAGTGATGATTCTTCTATAAAATCTGAATACCTTTGAGGCGGATTCTCGCAAAACCGAAACCGCGGCGTTTCGATCCTCTGTGACGCCTCCCATCTCTCAGCTAAACCGTCCCCTTCCAACATCTTTAACACTTCTGACATCTTCGGACGGTGCGACGGATTAAACTGTGTAGACAAGAGTGCTACTTGAACCATCTCTCCCAATTCAACTATGTCAAAGTTTCCTTTCAGATCTTTATCTACCATTTGACTTAACTTTCCTTCTAGGTGTAGCTTCTTAACCTGAAAGTTGCAAATTATACATGATTTATAAGGTCACTAAACAAAAGGAGATGCTGAGAAGAGAGTCGGGAGAAAGGGCGTACCCAATCAAGCATTACACCTTTCTGGTTTGCTGCTCGACCAAAATCTAGAGCCTTATGACCTGTGATCAGCTCAAGCAACAAGATTCCAAATCCAAACACGTCGGTCTTTTCTGATGATTGGCCGGTGGATAGGTACTCCGGAGCGATATGACCAATGGTGCCACGCACGGCAGTTGTCACATGAGTATCTCTGTGATCCAGAAGCTTAGCTAAACCGAAATCACCAACAACTGCTTCAAAGTCTTCATCTAGCAAAATGTTGGCTGCTTTAACATCACGATGGATAATTTTCGGGTCACATTGTTCGTGCAAATAAACCAACCCTCTTGCTGTGCCTAATGCTATTCTCTTTCGCCTTGTCCAATCCAAAGCCGGTCGGCCATTAGTATGATCTGGTACATAAATCCAAATCCAATGAGATTCAGTATTTAGCAATTGTTTTCAACATGCAGTTATAAAGTGAGTTTATGAGTTAAATGAGCTAACCTTTTAATCTAGAGGCTACACTTCCATTAGACATATATGGATAAACAAGAAGCCTCTCATTCTGAGTACTGCAAAACCCTCGAAGCCTTAGAAGATTCCGGTGAACAGCCAAACTTATCGTCTCAACTTCCGTTTGAAATTGGATCTCACCACCAGCTGCATTATAGTCTTTTAGCCGTTTAACAGCCACAACGGATCCGTCGTTCAAGCATGCTTTGTAAACTATTCCAAAGCCACCCCTTCCTAGAATGTTCTTTGAGTTGAAATGGTCGGTTGCGGTCCTAAGCTCTTTGAACGAATATCTTTTTAAATGACCGAGGCGCACTTCTGGATCATAATGCTCTGCCAAGTAACAAACTTTTAGTAAACAGCAATTTATGATTGATGAAACAGACGTATAAAAAGAAAGTGAATAAGCTTTAGCGAGGACGAACCGTTAATATCAAAGAATATCTGTTGGTTATGTCTATACCGCCACCAAACAAGAAGCCCGACTATAGTAACAATAACAAAAGCAGCACCAAAACTTGCACCGAAAGCAAGTGCTACATGATGACCTTTTTTACCATTATCTGGTTTGGCTGAAAATCGAAGTAATACATCTAATTATGTCACGATAAGCTTCAAATTATGAAAAAATATGAAAGTAGAGTACAAAGATATATGTCATTAACACCTTCTAAAGCGTCTGGTGGGAACGAAAGTGGCTCGGGCAAAACCGTAGTACAATTGTTTTCTTTTGGACAAATTAACGGGTTACCTACTATCCTGAAAGTAAAATTTTGAGCGAGATATTAACTTCATTGTTTTATTTTGAACTTTAACATAGAGTTGAAGACAATATGACATGCAAAACAAACTTACTTTAATGTTCTTGCTGATATCCTCGGTAACGAACCACTCAAATTGTTGTAGGACAAGTCCCTGCATTTAATATACCATTTTCTAAGAGAGATTATCTAAGAGAGAAATCAAAGCTTTAAAGTTGCGTTGAGCAAGTATAACAGAAACACATTCAGATTCAGCTCTTGTCGCTTCGATTTAATAAAGGTATACATAAATACAGTTTGGAGATAATGTAAGAAAGACCTACACAAGGGTAAGGCTTTCAATGTTGCTAAGAGACGGAGGGCAGGCTCCTGTAAGACTGTTATTATTTAACCGCCTAGCATGCACATAAAACAATTGAAATCGAATGAGACACACAACAATTTCAAAATATCAGCGACGGTTAACATTTGTATGATGATGATGGATATGGTTTTGTAACTTACAAATAATTCAAGTTCTTGAGACCTCCCAAAGAACTCGGCATCTCGCCACTAAATTCATTGTTGGATAGATCAAGCGTCTGAAGCTTTTCCAGGCTTCCTATCGCCGTAGGAATATGACCAGAAATAACATTATTCTGAAGTAACCTGCATACGTAAACAACTCATTAGGCATCAATGAAATTTCTTTCCCTCAGGATCTGTTTGGATTGACGTATTCGTGCCTATATACAGGTAGGCATAAGCACCGATAAATTTCATGTTTTTAACTTAGTTTCATAAGCTCTTCTGATAGTTTACGAAAACAACTTATAACTTACATGAAAACAATTTGACTTAAGAAAGCACAAATATAAATCATGTTCGCAATAATCAGCTTATACTTACACAGATTGCAAGTTAGTAAGGTTTCCGATTCTTGGAGATAGTGTACCAGACACGTTCTGACTGGGCAATCCCCTGAAAGAAAAAAAGAAAACTCTTTCAAATGAAAAAGTCAAAAACAAAGAGCCTCTTGAAACTTTTTTAGGCACTTATTGAAAAACTAAACAACTTACAGTGCAGAAACTGAGCCATCTGAAGTACAAGTAATCATCCTCCAACTACATGGATCAACAGAATTTATATCCCAACTCTCCAAAACATTGTGAGGATCATTCAAATCATTTTTTATAGCCATCAAAGCCACAACTATTCATTGAATAAACAAACATAAAAGGGTAAGAACTTCAATCTCAAAGCTCTTTTAATTATGAATAGAAAAATACCCTAAAAAAAAGAACCAATTAAGGTCTTAGAAGCTATTATATGATAGATAATTAGGTAGTTCCTAAATTAAGCTTTAATTAAGCTTTCAACTTTCATAGCATAATTAAATTGGCAAATAAGCTCAACTTGTGAGTATTACCTTAAATTATCAATAACTTCTACTTAAGATCTCAATGAAAGAAACTCAACCAAAAATAGTAAGAAAAATTAACCTTCATAGTTTATGCCAGAAGGAGAAAGAGTAGCAGAAGAAATCTTCATCAGAACATGAAGCAACAAACACAGCATCCAGAAAACCAAATTACAAACCTCCATTCTCTATAATCACTTCTGTAATAATCACTTCTGTAATGTCTCATTTACACATTCTCACAAAGAAACTTGAGTCCAACCTTATCACCTTATCCACACACACACACACACACACACACACACAAAAACACTATTTTGGAATCAGATTCCAATAAAGCAAAAAAACACTATCTTCAACAAAACATCAACTTTCCTATCAGACAAAACTCAATGAGCATCAACAAACAGAACCCAGATGCCAAAATCGCTTTTTTTTCAACAAAGTTGAAAGGAAATGGAGAATTTGAATCCAACTAAGAAAGAAGCACTAAAAAGAACAAAACTTTATTGTTGAGAAGAAAGTGAAGCTAGAAAGTTGAAGAAATTGTAAAAGATCCTTGAGATCTGTGAATGGATTGTAGAGAAATTGTTGTTGTTAGTGATTGATTCCATTATTGTTGCTACCATTATCTTGTTACTTTAAGAGTTGCAGAGAATAAAAAGCAACTGAGCATGAAACACGCTCACAACCAAAGAAAGAACCAACAAACAAAGGACAAAACAAAAATGACAAAGTGGACACAAATGTAGAGATGTACACACATAAAGCTACATAATCAGTAGTAAACAATTTTTCCTCAAAAAATCAAAATCACTTCTAATAATAATAACAATTTTTCTTCAAAAGATTTCTTTTAGTGAATCATGTTTTGAGTATTTTTAGTTAGTTTATGTTATTTTCACTTATCAATAAATATTATTTCTTGCAAATTATTTACTTTTAAAATATTTTTTAATTATTTAATTTTTTATTCTTAGTTCATTTTTATTTTTAAATAGACTAAATGAATTATCAATAAAATATTAATTTTTTTATCATAAAAAAATATGCCAATAAAACTTCAAATTTAAAATGCAAAGAATATCTATCTATAAAATATATATTTCATCTTTGACACTAGTACTTTATTAATTTGGATCAAGTAAATAATTGTTTAAATAAAATTAAACTTTAAAAAAATAAATATATAATAAATAAATTATTTTATAAGTAATTCATAAAATTATAGTTATATATAAATATAAAGAAGAAGTTATAAAATATTTTAAAAAAATTATATTTTATAAACAACCAAGTAAATTTAAAAAGCAACTATCATGTATTTATAAATTACTCTACCAAAGAGTTGAAACTTGACTAGCACAATTCAAGTCTATAGGCTTGTGTTGTATAGGTATAAGTATAAATAGAATCTTTAACCACTAGAATACTTATTTATTGTTAATTAATTATTAATATAAAGTATACTAGTATATTTCTTTTATTAATTATTTAAATCTAAAAAGTATAGAGATTGATTGGAGTGAAGGGATGTTTGTATGGGAGTTGATGAAAGAGAATAATGGGAATGGGATATGTATGTGCAAGAAAAGATAGAGAGAGAAAATTTTGGTTGCAGGTAGGTAAGTTTTTTTACAGATCACGTGGTTGGATTGTCTCCTCCTTTGTTTGCTTTTGCTTCAAAATATAAACTTTTTCAGAATTTAGATAAAACAAATCACTTCAATATATATATATTTGAGACATGTCACACTCACCATGCTAACATGCGCCTCCCTATAGGTAATTAAGATACTTTTGGTTTATAAAAAATTGATATAAGGTAAGAATGCATTAGTTCTATCTAGGCACACTAGGCAATGTTTATCAAGAGGACTAAAGTGTGGGGTTCATTCATCATTGTTTGTAATTTTCTTCTTTATTTTAGTTAATAAGACAAGAAAAACACTTTAATGTAAGATTAATATATGAAGTCGCTTGAGTATAAAAAACAAATGAAGTGGCTTGTTGAGGCAAAATGTAACAAATGAAAAAATAGTGACAAGTAATTGTAAGAAGGTGAGAGGTAAAATAAGGTTGGTTTGTTTTTTTGTGAAAACTAGAATAAGGTGTGGTGGAGGTACAACTACTACTACAACAACTTGAAGGAAATGTAGTGTGTGTGAGAATGGTTATTCTTTTGTTTGATAGTATGAGATTGGAATTTCTAAAATGCCCTTCCTTCTATAACAAGCTCTTTTTATCCTAGTGGTCAAGTTTTATCATTTATTATTAGTTTTTTTTAACTAATGTGATTTGTGTCATGCACTAGACTTACATTTGAGATATTTTTGTTATGGTTTGTGTTGCGGTTAGAATATGATATCAAATTATTAATTAATTTGAATCGCATCTTTAGTTCACAACCGCTCTTTGATTTATCCGAAGGAAAAGGTCAAAAGAGGAAAACCTAATTTTGCATCGTAAAGACAATGCGGGGAGAGATCTAGGTAAGGGGTTGGTTAAGCTCAGGGAAGGTACTACCACCCTAAACTTCTGTAGTACTCTACATGAACCTTTTGTTTATTGTATGCTTTTTTTATATTTTATTATCTGTTTTAATATATATTGAGCTAAGGGATAGAGTGACCTAAAGACCTAAGGGTTAGTCCTAAGTTTACTCGGCAAGACGTCGCATCTTGTGTCTACATATCCTGACGGGAATGGAATCAGAGTAATTGTAGTTCCCCTCGAAAGGGAGGTTAGAAACGTCTTGATTGTGGTCAAGGTTTCATTGGGGAGTAAGCGTTCATAGGGAAGCGCCTACGTGGAGTCTTGAAACTCCTATTTCTACGTTGAAACTGTTAATTGAAATTAGGGTTAAATTAAATATTCCACGGCGGGAAACCCTAAAATAGAGTACGGCGACTCTTTGACCTAATGCTAGGGTAAAGGGTATTTTTGTCCACGGCGGGACACCTAGGCGATTAGGGTTTTGAAATGGTCAAACGTTAGGGTTATTGACTCGGCGGTCAAACGGCTAGACCTAATCCTTCTGAGGGATTCTAACGGCAAATCATGCAAGATATAGCAAATTATTATACGGCAGAAATAAAGTACAGAAAATAATGAAAGCGATAAAGAAAACATCACGACGATCACTCGCGTAAATTACAAATTCCCAAAAAATGCGAAATAAAAAATAAACCGCGACCATGACCTCGCGTAAATTACATCCATGGGACAAAAACGAACAAATGAAATAATAATAAGCTGAAACAAACAAATTAAGGAGTGTTAGACGAAAAAGAAAAAGGACGGAAACGTTAGGAACTTCTTTTTTTTTATTTAAAAGAGAATAATGGATTTCGAATTTTTACTAAAAACAAATGTGTTAATTTCATGGCTATTTTAAGATCTAAATTTAGAAGAGTTCATAACTTTTTGCGAAAAATAGAGTCTTAAATTTTAATATAAAAAAAAGAGTTTAAATTTTTATTATGAGAAAAAAAATAAAAAAAAAATTATTATGAAAACATAGTTTTTATTTTATTATGAGAAAAAATAAAGCTTTTTTTATTATGAAAAACTGAGTTTTTATTTTGTTATGAGAAAAAAAATAAAGTTTTTTTTTATGAAAAACAGAATTTTTATTTTAGATTTAGTAAAGGAAAAAGATTAATTAAAGAAAATGTTATATTAATTATTACTATTATTAAATCATAAACTAATAAAATAATAAAATAATAACTAATTAATAAAAATAAAGAAAAAAAGAAAAGGAACTTAATTGAAAGGGGAGGGGGAAATGAATCATTTGTTATTATAAGGGGTTTTTCATCTTCTTCATTCTCTCTGTCCCACGCGGCGGCCATTAAAGCTTCATTTTTCCAAATCTTCTATCATCTCTTTCCCGTTGCATGTGCGGTTCCTCTCCCGCTGAACGTGTCCCTAAAAAAAACCGTGAAAACAAAACCATAAATCAATTTTGATAAATTTCTTACGGAATAACGGCCGGATTCGAAGCTTCTATCGGATGATGGTGGTGAATCTTTGATCTTGATGATGAAGCCTTGAAGGTTTTTTCAAAAAATCTCCCCGCTTCTGATAAGTCGTGAGAACGGCCGCCGTTTTTTACCCTTTTGTCTCCTTCTCCCCTTTTCTCAAATGCAACTCATGTTTATATAGGTAACAAATTAGGGTTAACTCTAACCTAATGCCCACTTTAAAGCCCAACTAACAAAAACTATTTTTGTTATTTTATTTATGAAAATAGAATAAAAATAAAAGAAATAAAACAAAAAGTGAAGAAGGTGGGATTCGAACTCTCAACCTCTCACACTCACAACTCCTTACACACGGTTTCTTGCCAATTGTGCCATTTTATTCATTCGAAATAAAGTGGCACTAGAAACTATGTAAAGGTAGGACAAATTTGGGGTGCAACAGATGCCCCTATTTAAATAGCTTCACCGAATGATTTGAGCAGTGGAGACTCGAGAAATCGTGGTGAAAGGGATTTAAATACAGATAACCGGATATTTGGCCCCTAGATGCAATGATATGCAATGATATGGACAAAATAACACGAACTATAATGCTGACAATGCCATGAATCTAATATGATGCGTACGATGGAATGATGAATGCAAGGATGCATACGACACGACGACATAGGGGACAGATGCGACGAGTAACTACACTGGGGAATACGACGCACTGGTGGAATAGCGCGACAATTGTCACTTTAGAACGAACATTAACACAGGATCCACATGGCGGTAGGATCAGGTAAACGACAAGTGTTGGAATTTTCGGGTCATTCCTTTAAGCGAAGAGATCGAGCGGGATCTTCAGGAATCATCGGAAAACAAATACCGGGATAAACAAACATCAGAACTAATCGGAAGAACGTCAAAAGAATTCTGAAAGATAATGAGGATATTCGGAAGAACATCGAATAAACTCTGAAAGATAGAAACAGACGTCAAAGACACTCGGAAGAACATCGAATGAACTTTGAAACACAACAGAGATACTCGGAAGAGCGTCGAATAAACTCTGAAACACCACCAAGACACTCGGAAGAACGTCGAATGAACTCGGGAAAACAGAGATTAATATCAAAGACAATCGGAAGAACATCGAATGAACTTTGAAACACACCCACGACACTCGGAAGAACATCGAATGAATGCTGGGT